GCAAGTTGACAGTTTTGGTTTAGAGTGAAATGTCTCAATATCTGGGTTGCTATTAGGTGTTGTGCAGACGTCTATTGTCCCAACTTGAATATATTGTTGTTGATCTTCTGACTTTTCATTTAATGCCATCATCAGGTCAGAAATTCAACTTGTCGAATATTATGGTTTATGACGTAGTACCTGCAAAACTAATGCATTGCCATCAGCCTCTGCTACTCTGTATGATGTTCGTATGTTGCCCGCAGTGATTCTGTTCTCTCTAATTAACCATTGTTTTAAACTCAAAACCAATTGTTTCCTCATTAAGAGTTACAAAGACTATCAAAGCAACACTTTAGTTTATATTTAGTCCATAGAGAAAGACACAACAGGAGGATGTATGTCTTGATGAGTGCTCACAGTAAACAAACGTCTACTAATTACTGTGTAAGTGTGAGAAAATTACCCATTCCTCAGCTGAGCTTGACCTTGTTTGAAGCAGTTATTAAAGGTTTCCACTGTGTGTTGTATGAATACCAGTTCTGATAATGAACTAATGTTGTCTTGAGTGCCGGTTCACCACAGAGAGTTAGCCTCTTCCAACTTCATGTCTGGGCTAATCTTTAGCAGTCAAAAACAAGTGAAATGGCTGTGATGTTTTCCATATATGTTTTACTGCTAAATGTAAATCATTTAATCTATAGCAATTTCTATCCTTTTAGTTTAATGAGCGTCCATTAAAACCTTTACTGTGTGTTTCAATAAAATGTCCTATACAGCAAATAGCCCAGAGATTGATTTTATTCTTTGATAGTCACATGCCCATGTTTTTCCACTTCAATAATGTTATGCTAATGCTATATTTGTCGTACTTATTATCACCCTTGTGTTTTGCAATTTGCTGGGTAACCCATTTCAATCTGTACATCAGTTTGTCAAGCTTAATTAAGAAAGTAATTGTTGATGCTCCAGGCGTTTCTCTCTCAAATTGTTATTGGCCCCTGCCTGTGAAATCCCCAATCAATATCTGTGTCTCATTTGATTCTCAGCCTGGGCCTTATAGATTGACAGCAGTGCACACACACCCACATGCACGCACTCTCACACACACACACTCACACACACACACACACACACACACACACACACAACCTACCCTTATCTCACTGACTCAATTGTTGATGCCATCTGATGTCCCTGCAGCACCAGACCCTGCTAACTAATGGCATTGGAAAAAGGCATTCGTCAAATAGTTGAATGATTATTCAATGAATGCATTAGAAGAAGCATGAAAGAGACTCGTTGTGAGCATAACTCTGCAACACTGTAAACATATGAGTGTTAGTGCATGCTTTTTGATATAATTGGTCATAGTACCCAGTTTGAATATACTAAAAGTCAAGTTTATTAAGCTTTTTCCCTAACATTTACTGGAACCATCAGCACATGGTTCCTCCTTCCTGTTTTCTCCTTCTTTATTGCTTTCTGACTCACACACTCACTCACAAAGATGTCCTTCACATTGATACGCAGGTTAATAAATATAAGATGAATGTCAAGAGACCCACACCAGAGTGAGCCCATCCTTTAGGGGCCTTGGCATTTTGCAGCTACCTCGATGGCACTCTGACATGACAAGGACTTTTCATACTGAAGCTGTCATGACTTGCATTATCGCTCTCTCAGCCTCAAATGAGAGATCCAATCTCTTGCCAACTGTGTATTCAGCTCAGTAATATCCTACAGCTTGCTCTTTCACATAAACATCTATTTAAATTCATTTCTCCTCTCTTATGCGATCTCTTTCTATGACAATATCTCCCCTGATTCTATTTGCTTTATTCTCACATCTTCTTCATCTCTCGCTTTACTCATCCATCTCCTGATACTCTTTCTTGCCGCTGGCCACCTTACTCATTCTGCTTCCCTGCTGCGCTGTAAGTGTTGTTTTCTCTCTCAACACCCACACGAACGCACACTCACATAAACTTCCTTTGTGTTTCTCCTGATACACATTGCCTTACTTCCTGCTACATCTCTGATGGAATCTTTCTCCCTCTCAATGCAACCATTCACCCACAGGCAAAGTCATCCCAGGCTGCTACGCACCCCCTCCTCCCCTCTTCGGCAATCTGATCATTTCCCTACCTCAGAGTCATTTTCCAAACGTGGTCACTAATTGGGTTTCTCCTGCGATTAAGTCAATAACAACCTTCATATTAGGCTTTAATGTCCCCTAATGAGTCCATTTGTTGGCCCGCAGCTAATTAGGTCTGAGCTGTTTATAGATAGCCTAAACTAATTGATGGGCATTACTGAAACACTGTGTGTCAATCAGTAATACAGTTGAGCCAGTTTCTGCTTCTAGCTTGCAGGCCAGAGCGCCCCAAAAACAGATTATCCCGTTCTGGTTCATGGACCAGGCTGTATAATTTGTGAAACAGCTCGGCATTAACATTAATGATAACTCCAGGGGAGCAAAATGAAATCCATTTAACATTGACTGACAAATCTTTCCCCTCCACAACAAGCATTTAGTTGTATTAGTGTTGATTGTATTCTGGAATGCGTCGAGGAATCTTGTGCTTTGGTTAGCTCATTCAAATATTAATATATGCCAACTGTAGATGTTAACGCAGTGCACAAGCACAACCATTGAATATCAGGGCTCATCATATCAGATTGATATACATAAGGTCCTATTGGCAACAATAGGGGAATATGAGGACACCAGGCCGTTGCAGAAGCTTTCAAGCTGAAATCTTAAACAAAGTTTGAACCGATCCGATTGACATGCCAGGACCCCATCCTGGAGTTTGAGTCTGCACAAGGCTTTGGTTTGATAAGGCAGTGTGTGGATGAATATAAAGTGAGCTGGAGGAGTCTGATATTGGGACTCATTCCAATCATATGCCTCCAGGTTAGCATGCTATCAAAAGGAGGGGTTTGTTTGAAGTGAGGTTGTTGGTCTGCACACAGCTGTGGCTCTATGATAAAGACGAGAGAGGTTTGAGGTGAAGCCTCCTGTCCCTCCATCCCTCTCTCTGTCTCTCTAATTCAATTCAACTAAAATTGCCATGAAAATACCAATATAAAGCCTTCTTTTCTGCCTTGTAGCTCTGCAGTGTGTGTGCAGGCTGTGTATTGACAGTTCTCTATCTTGAGTTTTAAATATTATATATCCCACTGTGTGGACGTTACTAGAGCTCGAGTTTTGAATAGGTACAGCAGACATACAATTGGAGACGAGAAGTGTCTTTCTGTGCCAACACCAGGACATCTTTCCTGCTTTGATTTCTACAATTTCAATTTTTTCTTTCATCAAGGCAAACAATCTCAAAATATAAAAATACTCCAAATACTTTCCCCCTGTGCCATCTGTTGACTTAATATCTAGTTTTATACAGTTTCAAAAATACTTTTGATCCCTGTTGAAAACTTGTCAGCAATACCGGCCTGACTTCTGATGTTGTTTGTTGTGCCACATCCTGGTGAACCATAACTGTTTCTGTAATATGTAAATATGTATCCAGGTGGGGGATTGAAAGGAGATAAAGCTATTTAAAATTAAAATGACAGTGCTGCTTTGCCCCATCCTGTTTTCACTAAGGACATACAACTTTGTGATTACATACAGTAAACAGAAGGGAGGGCAGTTTTAATTATTTCTAATAGTGTTTAAAAAAGTGTACATGATGTATATCCAATTATGTTGGTGTTGGTGCCAAAAACAGTTAGCCAGTGTTTGGAACAACCCTATTTCTTATGTTGTGTTTTTTTCCATTTTCAGCATTTTTCCAGCATTTTCAGAGGACATTTTTTCAATACAGTTGACTGTTGGCCAAGTCAAGCGTTCTATGTTGTAGGATAAATATTGTCTCAAAACTGCTGGATGAGCTTGGATATTTGTAATGCTTTTTAGATAATTTCAGAGATAAAGTGATCTGGATGTGCATGGAAAATGGCTTTGAATGGTTGAAGCTAAAACAATTTTTAAAAAAAAAGAAATAACAATAACATGGACTACCCCTGATGTAACATTCCAACAGTTTAAAGTCCAATAGCTGGATCATTAATAAAATGGTTGCTTATTTGTCTTTGAAGGAAACGAAAGGTAAACACTCCAGATTTAATGTGACTATCAAGGATCACCATAAATTACCAAGGAGGTTGAACTGATTCCTCCTTTGGACTTGTATTGATTTATCATTAATGTGTATGTCCTCATGTATGTGTGTGCTCAATACAACAACAAACAATGTAATAATGAGATGAAATAATCACTCTTATTTGATATTAAGCCTTATTACAGATACATACAAATTACAAATAACATACAAATGACATACAATTACAAATTACATACAAATTACAGATAAGGTGCAATAGACTGTGTAAAATGTACGCTATAGCCTAAGTAAAAATTAAGTTTGCACAATATCTCTTAAGCAAAGTGTTTGTGTTATAGGCCTACTTCGTAGAGACCCGATACGGACATCATTATAAAAGGCCTATGAACCACAGAGGGGTAAGGTTTTCATAATAAACCATAATGAAGTTCACACATAATCTCATATTATAGGCTAAATGTTAATTCTGTTATCTGTCTGTTGGTTATCTTTCCTTGTTAGATTGTTACATTTTTTGAAACAATACTCTTGCAGAGTTTTATGGTATTTCTTCGGGAAAGTAGTTTGTAAATGGTCTTCTTCCAGGCCTTCAGGCCTATCTGTTTCATATTAGGCTAGAGAAAACTAAACTTTGACGCTCACTTATTAGCTGGAGGTTCTGTCCCTAAAATGTCCCCAATTCCACTAATGTTTCGCCTGTGTCTGTATCGTCTGTGGTGAATATCCGTTGGTGAAATAACATTTTGGCTAACTTCGCTTCGGAGTAACGGTGCAGTCAAACATGGTTTTGCCAGAGGGGACCCTAGAGGTTCCTAGCCCGCATATTGGGAACCGCTGCCCCGAAGTGGACCGACCTCTGCTCTGCGCCTCTCTGCCTCCGACTCCGCCTCCCTCAGCACCAACACACGAGCGACCGACTCCCCAGCCTGCCTGCCGCGCCACCCCGAAGCCCCTCCAGCTAAAGCCTGTAGACCTTCCCACTCCAAAAACCGGACTCCATACTTTTGTCCCAACGCGAACCCACTAATCTCACGCCAAATGTACCGTTGTTTTGTCGGATGGGGAAAACGAGTCCAACTTATTAGTGAGCTACAATAGGCACTAGTGGAGCTGTGTCGGATAAGTTTTGTTTCTTTGCCCACAGTTTTCGGCCCCGCGGTGGGGCAGGACAACAAGGGCAGGCCGGGGGGAAACGGAGACCGTATGATGTGGATCTGGTACCTTCTGCTGGGGTCGGGGTCAGGCTCAAGAACTGTTGGTAAGTGTTTAGAAGCACACGGAAACTAATGTTGTTGTCACAGCGCCGTCACGCTTACTGGTGGGTTAGGCTACACGAAGGGGGGCAATGTAAAATCTTTTGAAGTGTTCTCTGAAACTGTTACACGCTTCGGTTCGGATGTTTTCTTTATTTCTACGAGTAAAAGCATATAAAACGTATTGAACCAACTTATATGAGCAAAAGTTAGCCAACCTTCATTTATATCGACTGAACGGGTTTTGTCTGGGAATTGGGAGTTGCAGCAGCCGTGTGAGCAGTTTTAAAGTTTTTCCGTGCATGACGAATGGGAGCATGTCCCCTTCACTTCTGAGTGAGAATAGTTTTGCTACTGACACCCTCCATGACTATATCCTTGTACTGTATGTTTTACTGAGATGGGGTTATAGTCTCCTCTGGGTTAGGTTATGACCGAGGGGTTGTTGACAGGACAGTGTTGACAAGTCAATCTGTCCAGCCCCGCCATGGCAGCTGGTGCCCGGTGGAGGACACTTAATACAAAGGACTTCCAGTCTGCACTTTTTAACCATACAGCTTTAGTTTGGATCTGGTATTCCAATCAGTCACATATCCTCTGGATATTTCAGTGTGCTGAAAAGCTAACTATCCATTTAATTGATGAGCTGCAGTGAATAATTAATTGAATGAGAAACACGTGTGATAATCAGTGATTTCGAGGTAACAGCCTCGAAGTAGGCCTATGTGTAATTATGATAATGAAGTAAGAAACTATTTGTATTGTAATAGAGAAAATGCTGTCCTTTCCTCTTAAAATACTACTTTCAAATAGCCTATTTGTAGATAAGGCTCAACATGTGTAAAGTAGGTTACAACTGCTAATTGTAGCATATTGATACCAATTTTAGATGTATGCCTGATGAACACATACAGCCCAATAGTTTATTTACACGTAAAGAGCTGCTTATCAATGAGATAATATGCCTTCGATGTGTGTTCAATTTGTATTGTCTCACATGAGGACTTTTATGGAGAGAAGTCAAAGCATTTAGTGATGACACTTTCCTTTCAAAATGGTTAACTTATGTCACATATTGAATACTTCTTAATGAGCTCCATTATTACTGCAGGTGCATTGGATTGGTATATAGCTGAAACAGTTCTTGGATGCTCCTGGTACTATATAGAGGTTTTGACATGTCACTGTTGGGAAGGCACAGGTTTAAGCAATGCGAATATTGATGGCTGAACTTTCTTTAGCCTACCTAGTTTGGTTTTATGGTCCTGACATTGTGCATGCTTGAAGCTCCCTGTCACACTTCCATGGCTTACTGAGACACTCAAATCGACAGAACCATTTTGAATGTTATTAGTAACACCTGTGCTGTTTCTGCTGTGACAAGTTATGCTTGGAAAAAAGCCTATTGTTGCAATTTTAGTTTTAGGATATGCCTGAAAATGCCTGTGCACTATGTAAACAAATCCAAAACTGTTGAATTGTTTTCATTTTTTCATCATATAATTGTAACACTTATTATTGAACACAAGTAGCACACATCTGGTAAGTGTGTTCTGCCTTCCACATGGCAAGCATGTGCATGTGAAAATGTTTTTTTGTCAGTGCAAGTGAAGTGTAAATATCATTATATTAGGTGTGGAACCAAGCTTTTGTGTTGACTGCCAAAACCTACCTTCCTTTGCTCTATTGGAGCATGTACACGTGATTGATGCCAGAAATGTTCTCCTATACTATTATTTCCGTTTGTTTTCTTCAATTACATTGGCAGTTATCTTCACCATGCAATAACTATGTTTCTAAATGGTCCACAAATGCTAAAATGTCATGTTAAAAAGTCACAGCACAGTTAACATTGGTTTGCATGCTGTGAACAATGGACAGTTTGCAGTCCACAATTTGTGTTATTATTATTAAACCTGTCAATGAAAGTAAGCCTTGCAGATCAGACAAATAAGGTCTACTACTGTATAACTATAGCTTTGATACTGATACCAATATTTCGTTTTTTTTCCCTTGCTTCTACTTCACATCCTTAACGAGGCGTATAGTATACAGGATCATACATCAGCTGGCCGAAGCAAATTGTAAGACTAAAAAGACAGTAAAATGTTTCACTACATTTTGTAAACTTGCCAAAAATATCTGGGTAAGATGGACACCTTTTAAAAAGACTAACGTTTTTCACAGCATGGGCACTCTTAGTTTCCCTTTTTTAAAACTTCATCTGTATTATTAGATTTATAATTTTTTTGTTTTTGTACATGTCTCAAAACAAATGATAGGTGCTCAAAACCTGTGTTCCAGTGTAAGTACAGCATCTGTCCTATGAGATCAAACCCAGTGAAGGCCACTCTTTATACTCCCATTCAGAAGATGACTTAGACTTTGATTTGAACTGGACTGGACTTCTAGCCTTGCACTCACTCTAAGCTGCAAGTGATAAATCAGTGCTAATATGCAACATGATATTCATACACTACCCACTGACAATGGAATGTTGCAATGCAGTAACCAACAGGGCACGTTTATGGTATTGTGGTGTGCAGCCTGAAATTATATTTAAGCTGTTCATCTTGTCTGTTTGGCCAAGTACCAGCGGAAATATTTATGTAAATGAATTCAGGTACAATGTTGGAAAGATGAATTAGCTTTGCATCGGTTATTTTTCCCTGCACTCTGGGATGATTATTGCTTGTTAAAGGTCATCATTTTAATATATATGGAAACTTTCCTAATGTTTGATTACATTACAATACCAGGCTCTTTGGCTCGATTTTCCTTTAATTCAGCGGTGTTTTTTTTTACAGCTATGTGTTTGGTTTTCAAATATTGCTATGGATACATTTATTTCACAAAAATATTTTCTTTATCAAACCCTTGCTTCCTGCAATCCCAGTTCATAAGCTTTAATATCTGTGATCATTACATTTTATTTATAGAAGCCTAAGTACCAACACAATGCAATACTGTATACCCTTGTTTTCATGTGTTTAAGATTTCATTTTACATTTGTATTAACATCCTCTCATTACTAGATTTTTGTGTCCATTTGAATTGAATACGTAATCTCACAGAGCTCTGAAAGTCCATGTCTTACTTCCATGAGGAATTTAAGAAGAAACCTTCATGCCTCACATGTTGCTGTTATGCTCACTAACTACAAGTATTCAGGGGTTGTTCACAAGAGCGCCTTGCCCAGCCCAACTGTACTGTACTATACTACCTACAAAAAAACAATAACAAATGCAATATCTGAGAGTCTAAGAGACCATGTGCACACTTGCTCATCTCTTTAACGCCTCAGTTGGACAACTGATAGTCACACTAAATTGTATCCTCAATCAACATAAAAGTCGCTCCATTACCTGCTCTCTGTGACCATTACCAGTCCACACACAGGCCAGGTGGTCGGATATTTGTATTCATGACCAAAGACCGAGTATTCAGGTCATTTCTCCCAAAGAACAGGGAGATTGTCTCCTGGTTATGATGCGTTGTATTTCTGCAATGTGGCTTCCCAGAGACAGGCCAGTTGGCCCAAAAAGCCCTGTGTCTGTGCCTATCTTTGCGTGTCTTTGGAACACGAAACAGAGAGAGAAAGAGTTGTGTTTCCGCGCTGGCTGACAAGGTTGATATGCTTCCAGCAATAGTCACACAGAGAAGGCCAGGGATTGAGGAGGGCCAGTGTGGCTTTAGTTCCCATAGTTGTTAAACAAAGCCACATGACTGGAGTCACGTTTCAGTCTAAGATAACAGTGGAGCTTTAACACTAGAACCGCCAACGGGTACATTTTACCCGCAGCTGTTTCTTGATTGTATGTAACTTTTTTTCAATAAAATATTCAAGTCTCCCAGTCCGTGACTTTTCCTGAAAGTGTGTTATGTAGCACCCTCTGTTGTTAAAAATTGTCAATATTTACCTTATCGAAAATGCAGTGATTTTCGCGCTATTGATCTCGCGCAAAAACATAAACATGACGTGTTGCTATAGCAACACCTGTTTACTGCGGTTCCTTATAGAGAGAGAGATATATAGATCAATCAATCAATCAATGTTTATGTATATTTAAGCAATAGCTCACGACAGGCCGTGGTATATGCTCATTATATCACAGCTAAAGGCCCAGATACACCGGCCAGTCACCTGAGAAGTCGCCGACGCTGACACCGACTGTTGCGTCGCCGGACTCTCCTGCGTATTTGCCGACTTCGCGCACTGGAACACACCGCAAATCCGAGCCGAGCACGTATGAACTGCGCATGCGTGAGTGGCAATAACTCTCCTTACCAGCAGGGGGCGGTAGTGTGTATTCGTCATTCAAAAGAGGCAACAACCGGAAGACAGAGAAGAAGAACAGACTCCGTGATATAAGCAAACAACAAATAGCGTTTTTCTTTCCATTTTCACTCTCGTCCATTGAAAACATGAACGAACAGGAGCAGGACGAACGGGAGGTACTGGAGCTAGCAGCCCTTGGACTCACGCTTGTGTTAAATCATTTGTTTACCTCCCTCACTTCCGTTAACGCTTCTCATGCACTGATTCGCTAGCTGAACAGCCAATCAGTGTTATCCCTTTGTCCGACTTCCAGTGGTGTTCTCGACGCAGATTCAACATGTTGAATCGGCAAGAAAAAGCGTCAGGTCGGCAGAAAAGACCCGACGGTGCGGCGCACACCACTCCGAATAGGGCGTGCCCACGCTCATGTTCGGCCTGACTCCCATTTACTGCCGATTTCGGGCCGGTGTATCTGGGCCTTAAGATAATGAAATGTGCTTTTCGTCACCCACAGTGTCGCATACAATCTTTGTCACACGCACCAAGATATCAATAATACAGAGGCGGATTTCATTATTGCTTAAACTTTGCCACGTACCACCCAATTGTGAAAAAGG